CTCCTCCTTTCTCCATCCCACGTTTCTGCCCACGTTTCTCCCTCCTCCCCGTTTCCTCCTCCTCCTCCTTTCTCCATCCTCCTCCTTTCAATCTCCTCCTTTATCTCGCCACAAACCCCTGTCTTGTTCGTCCTTTCTTGTTTCTCCCTATTCGTTTCTCCCTCCCCCTCATCATTTCTCCCCCCTTCTCCTCTACGTTCAACCCTCATTCAACCCTCGTTCTCTCCTCCTACTCCTCGTCGTCTCATCCTTCCAACGCTCTCGCTCATCTTCCTCCCTCCCTCCTCCTCCTTCCTCCCCCCTCCTCAACTTTCTGTAATCAATCAATCAATCAATCAATCAATCAATCAATCAATCAATCAATCAATCAATCAATCAATCAATCAATCAATACAATCAATCAATCAATCAATCAATACAATCAATCAATCAATCAATCATCAATTAATAATCGCTCGTCGATCCGTCCATATGGACGGACCTTTTCATCCAAGATCCGTCGTTGAACCTTGAACGACGGATCTTGGACGAAAAGGTCCGTCCATATGGACGGATCGACGAGCGATTATTGTTTGATTGATTGATTGATTGATTGATTGATTGACGGTCAAACCAAACAGCAGATATGAAAATCGAACGGGAAAGCAAAAACAGCAACCATGATCACTGACAGTGCTGCCACGTCAGCCTTTTTTTTTTTTGCTTCTTAGTTCTAAATATCAATCAATCAATCAATCGTTGCTCGTCGATTCGTCGACATGGATGAACCTTTTCGTCCAAAATCAGTCGTTAAACGACGGATCTTGGACGAAAAGGTCCATCAATATGGCATTACCGACGAGCGATTATTGATTGATTGATTGATTGATTGATTGATTGATTGATCGATTGATTGATTGATGGTGGAAACCCACAACTCGCGACCGCACAGAACAGCATTTGAAATCAGCAAATGAAATTAAAAAAAAAAAAGGAAAAGGGGGCCGACGTGGAGACACGAGGCGGAGGAGGTTGAGTACGAAGACGAAAGAGAGGAGGAAGACGACAAGGAAGACGAGGAGGTGATAGACGAGGAGGACAAGAGGGAAGACGGGCAAGAAGACGACGAGGAAGACGAAAACGAGGAGGGGGGAGACAAGGCGATGGATAAAGACGAAGAAGAGGACGAGGAGGAGATGGGGAAAGACGAAGACGAGGAGGAAGACAAGGAGGAAGACGAGGAGGAAGAGGAGGAAAAGGAGGCGACGCAGAAAGACGAATACTACGAAGGGGAAGAGGGCGCGATGGAAAAAGAGGACGTCGAGGAGGAGGAGGAGGAGGAGGAGGAGGAGGAGGAGGAAGAGGAGGAAGAGGAGGAAGAGTAGGCGATGGGGAAACACGAAGACGAGGATGAGGAGGAGAGGGAAGACGAGCAGGTAGTGGACGAGGAGGAAGACAAGAGGAGGAGAAGGCTATGGTGGAGAAGGACGACGAGGAGGAGGACAAAGACGAAGAGGAAGAGGAGGACGTAGAGGAGGAGGAGGAAGCTATGGAGGAGGAGTAGGGAGAAGAAGGGGATGAAGATGACGACGAAGACGAGGACGAAGAGGAGGGGGAAAGAAGAGGAAGACGAGGAGGAAGACGAGAAGAAAGACGCCATGGAGGAAGAATAGAGGAGGAGGACGAAGAGGAGGAAGAAGAGGAGGAGGAGGAAGACAAGGAGGAGGAGGACGAAGAGGAGGAAGAAGAGGAGGAGGAGGAAGATAAGGAGGAAGACGTGGAGGACAGCGTGGAGGTAGAGGAGGTGGAGGAGGAGGTTATGGAGGAGGAGAAGGGCGAGGACGAGGAGGAGGAGGAGGAGGCGATGGAGGAGGAGGTGGACGATGACGAAGAGGAGGGAGACGAGGAAGGGGAGGAGGAGGAGGAGGAGGAGGAGGAGGTGGAGGAGGAGATGGTGAGCGCGTACCTCCCGTGATGGTTGGCAACGGCGACGAAGACGACGACGGTGGCAGCAGCTCCGGGGTAGGACGTGGGCACCAGCGACAGCGACGGCGACGAAGACGATGGTGGCAGTAGCTCCGGGGTAGCACGCGGGCACAGGCAATGGCGACGGCGACGCGGTGGCGATGAGGACGACGGTGGAGCCGACAACAGCGACGAGGGGCGGGGAACGCTGCTCCAGGCCAGCTCGGGAGTGCGCCGCCGCGGGTCGCGCGGGTTCGAGTTGGAATTCGAATTCGAATTTGAACACGGACCGCGATTCGGATTCGGCTGTCGATCGGACCGGATGAACGGACGATATTACAATGGCCAAAAAAATTGGGTCTACTGAGGCCCCATTTTTTTTTTTGATGGATGGTTACAATCGGGGACCATCCCCGTCACCTCGCCCCTTTTCAACCCCGATTTCAGGCTTTGATCCAAGTACGCGCGGGGTGGCCCGGGGTTTCGACCGGTCCGGTCGCCCGGCCGGACGGGCCGGGCAGGTCCCGGGCAAGGTTTTGCTGCTCGGGCGGCCCAGATCGTAGCCTAGCAACCAAGGCATTTGTGGTTTAAACAATAAGTGTTTTATCCATTGGATGTCATTGGTTGTGTGGCATAGTCCAAAATGCCTATACCACCCTTTGTCTTTGGTTGCACCACTGTCCGTCAAGCCAACCTACTTCTAACATTTTTGTTGTCGTGATTACATCTGTCATCTCCATAGGTAAGTTGTTACTTGTCGCTATAGTACTTTGAGGGCTGATTTACCTAGTACCCAAATTGCTGATTTGTACCATAGAGATGCTAGAATTACATTATTGATTATGAGTGACCGGCCTAGGAGAGAGGTTTGTTTGTCCTTCCATTGTTCCATTTTTGCTAGGGCTGATTTGGTTATCCACTCAATATTTGTTGATAGTTTGCTTGTCGCAGACAAAGAAACCCCTAACATTGTGTAGCAAGGCGAACGCGAACATGTTTGCCCAAACGATAACAAGTGCCCAATAAACCCTTTGAAAGCGAACATAAAAAAAGAAAAAAAAATGAAAACTCAAAAAAATGTGAAAAACATATAGGTGATGTAAAACAACAATACAAGCAACTTTTGCCTTGGAGTCATGTTTAAATTATCCGCCAAATGCGAATTAAAAATAAAAAACCGAAAAAATATATATATATCGTCAAATAGATATATATAAATTTTTTTTTTACGAAAAACAAATATGTTTGCCCGAACACGTTCGCGAGCCGTTCGTGTGAACACGCGAACGTGGAGGGGCACAAACTTGTCCGTCGTGCTACACAACCCTAACACTTTGATTGGAGTGGGATGGGGTAAACCAATTGATGCGAGGTTGTTCTGGTGGCCTTACTCCCTGGTCATGTATCCACCATCCTTGAGTCTTGCTCCCCCAATTGATTCTCATGTCCGAGAGGGACCAAAATTTATCCACCAGATTTTTTATTTCCTTCATATTTTCCTAGGATGCTTCCACCATCAATGAGAGACCGTCTACAACAAGAGAACAAATTGTAATAGGTTTTTCAGGAATGTAAGAAACTTGGATACGCTTAATATCCTTGTTTTGTCATAGATTGGTTGTTAAAGCCTCCATCATAATGACAAAAAAAAAAGAGTGATAGTGTCTCCTTGTCTCACCGATCGCTCAATATCAATGGGTGAGGCTAGATTACCATTTATCATCACTCTTGTTGTGCATTTGAGTGTAGTATCTTTACCGAGTCTACCCATCGACGAAAACATGGACAAATTTTATTTTTTCATACATTTATGTAAACATCCATGATCATAGGTTTTTTCAAAATCTATGAAGAGGAAACTTCATAAAAGCCGCACTGTATGTTGATTGTCTGGAAAGTTTGACTAATTCATTAACCAGAAGAATGTTATCCTGAATTTTCCTTCCTCCAATGAATCCTCTTTTAGTAGTGTGGTCTATGTCTGATATGACTTTCATCAATCGATTTGCTAAGGCTTTGGCTGCCAACTTATATATCACTATCAGAAAAGTAATTGGTCTATAATTTTTAACTTTTATTAAGTTTTTAATATTTGTTTTCTCACCTTTCTTGTATAATAGGGTCAGAATCTTTGTCCTCGCACCTCCCCCATCTTTCCTGTGATCCACACCGCATGGTAGTGGTCCATTAGATTTTGGGACTGATGTTCCCACATCACCTTCCATACTTCTTTTGGTAGACGTTTTTTTTTTTTTTTTTTTTTCCCATCATCATAAGTGTTGTCCAAATTTCTTTTTTAGAAAGAGGTGATTTTAGTTTATTTTTATGTTTTCTTGTGAGGGACTTCGGTAGTGGAGTCAGAAACTCGTCTATCTCTTGTATTCGTTGGTCTCTAGGGATATGTTTGCATTCCGAATTGAAAAGTTCCTTGTAATAATTCCTCGCTATCTGAGTACAGAAAGCAGTGGAGGTGCCCCAAGGTCCTTATGGATCCTGAGGATCTGAAAGAGTTTTTATCATTGGTCTTCCAGTTTTTAGCTGAAGCTATTGCAAATAATCTGAATCCATGACTCCTTCATTGTTCCTCAACATATTTGCCTGCACCGCTTGTCAGTCAAGTCCACATACGGATGTTGAGACCGAAGAGAAAACTGAGAGATATAATAAATGATCAGTGGGCAAGGCAAATCTAGAATGCCGCCTCCTAACGCCCATCCGCTGGTTCCGGGAGCGAAAGGCCAAACCGTCCGAGATCATTTCCCTGCAGTGGAAGATAACACATTGTTGCCTGGCCACGAATGACTAGCTGGTTGAACACGCCGATATGGAACAAAGACGGATGGCGCTGCCTTGGTGCCAGCGGTGCGTGGGCCTGTTCCCCTCCCACAAAAAAATCGAAACGATCGAACACATCTGCATGCAGGGCCCAATTGCGCAGTTCATCTGGCGTTGGTGGGATCGCATATGGCGAAAAATGGTGGATTTCAATCCCTGGCCCTGGTCATAGCAGACAATTTTGGTCGGACACTGGGCAACCAACTTTGAAAGCCACTACTTTCATTGAAAATATGTACAGCTTGGCAGACAGACTGTGCTTTGAGCCCTCTAGTGGCAAAGGTGCCTGCTTGCCCTGGAGCAAGTACGGGTGGAGGGGGCAGAGATTGCAAAGCAAATACAACAACGAGTACAACTGGATCTGACACGAAGATGGAATGACATGAAACCCTAGTTGAACTTGTATGTACAGATTATTGACGTTAGGCGGGCAATCACGGTCGACTGCCTAGAATGGTTAGGGGGTGAGAGGGGGGGGATGAATGGCAGAAGTCAAGCTGAGTCGAGACAGCCTGGAAAATCACCAGCAGTACATAGAAGGGATTCGAGACTATCAACTGACTTTTAACGACTGGGTACACATTCAACCCTCTTTTCCATTGTGCCCACCCTCGGATTTCCCTAACTGATTCCCACCCCACGACCTCTCACTGATTGAATTATTGGAACAAGTTCGTCATAGTATAGTGGACAGGCCAGAAGAGCCCCGTGGTACTTCCTGGGGGGAGCAACGACTTCCACGTTAGTACGTTACACCATATTCCGGTTAGTCGATCCCCTGGCTACTGGGCCAATAAATGCTGGTAGACTCAACAGACTTCACGTATCATGGAAGTTATGGGATTCTTCCATGGGACTCTAAAGGTCAACTCTTTGTAATTGGGATGATGGACTGGTTTCCGGCAGGTGCCAAACCCCACCAATAGAATGGGGCCACCCACAGGAACCTACCACTGCAGGCTGCTCATATCACTCTCCTTTCCATTTGTTTCCTGCTCTGTGTGTGTTTTTGGCCTCTTTGTTTCCTTCCACATCCATTCTTACCACCCTTGAGGTTTTGGGCACTTGCTGTTATGTTCCCTTTCTTCCTTCTCTTCTTCTTGAGCATATCACTTGCAGCAGTTGGCCCTCGAGGCTGACTTCAACAGAACAAAAGTTTTTTTTTTTTTTTTTTTTTTTTTTTTTTTTTTTTTTCCCCCCGAAAAGCCCAGGTTGTTATAGAGGTGGGATACTTGACCGATGACAGTCACCCACAGTACTCGACCACTCGGTTGTCCAGCTGAACCCCTTTGAAGACCCCACCCATCCTTCCTCTCATCTGTTTTGCACTGGTGCACCCCGACCCCCCCTGTCCTACCTTAGTGTTAACCACCTGGGACCATCTCCCATCACCATCTTGGCGGGTTGACCTGACAAGACAACGGTTGCCAGCACTCGGGCTAAGCAGAGACACCTACCCCCCTCCTCAACCCTAGTTGAAGCAGACGCCGTGCAAGCCCGATTCCACGGGGACTTCGGGAGCTAGGTATGAACATGCTACTACAGGTCTTCATGAGGGTGCATAGTGGCTCCCATCTAGCACAGTTGTGTGGTGATGATAGAGAGTCGGGAATCCTCTGTTCCCTCATGTGTCCCTGGAGCCCGTTCTGGCCCGGTGGTAAGGTGTAGTATCTTTTGGCACCCCTGGCATCCCGTACTAAGGAACTGCCATATCAGCCTCAACCCTAAGCTACGTACTAGAAGGATAGTCAACGCTAAGTCATGAATCGTGGACTGTATCTATTGACCCGGGAGAATCTATTAACTATGTGCTGTATGGTAATCTGTAATAGCTCACAATCCTTTGTTCCCTCGTATGTCCCTGAAACCGGTTCCGGCCCCACGGTAAAGTGCAGTATTTCCTCACACCCCTGACATCCCATACTGAGGAACTGCTATGCCAGCCTCAACCCTTGACCACGTACTATGAGGATAGCCCTAAGTCGTAATCTGGTATCAAACACACGACCTTATGTGAATCCTGCAATCGACCTAAATGTGACCCTGAGGCAAATGTTCTTTAAGCCTATACCGGGGACGCCTGCAAGCATAGCTCCCCTCACAGTCAAGGGGATGTAGGTAGTGAGAGGTGACACTAAGAGAAGAATATAGCTTAAAAATAAAATAAAAAAACAAAAAACAAAAAAACGTTGTTTAGTTTGTTACTCTCCTACCCTACTCACAGTAGTCTACAAGATGTTCTCCAAAGC